CTTGCTTCCTTGCTTCCTTGCTTCCTTGCTTCCTTGCTTCCTTGCTTCCTTGCTTCCTTGCTTCCTTGCTTCCTTCCTTCCTTCCTTCCTTGCTTGCTTGCTTGCTTGCTTGCTTGCTTGCTTGCGTGGAGTGCATGGCTCAATAAAGTGCACTTTCGAGGGGGTGGCGCGGCCGCCATCTATTCAAAAAACGAACCGACTGATGGTGGCCACGGCCAAGGCTGCTGGATGTGAAGCAAGATTGCCCCATCCGAATATCCTGACTGTTCCAAGCCTATCATCCAGCCACAGTTTCAGGAATTTGTCAATGAGCAAGACAGTCTGCCCCCTTTGCCTTTCTGGACAAAGGGATGAGAAATAATCACAGTCGGCTCCCGGAAACTATGAAGTCTTCCTACGGACGATACACCGACTGGTCCGCCTTGAAGCTTTGTCAGGTGCGGTGGCATAGTTGGCACCACCAAGGGCTTCCCATGGATTTGGGTGCCTAGAGCAACAAAGGGAAATGATTCCGATATAAAAGAGGTCTCACTTCGCTATGTCACGGTTTGTCTCAAAATGATGTTGCACCCCCCGAGCTAATTCACTGATTTCATCCACTTCCCTTCTTAGATGTTACTTGAGGTCAGTCTAGAGTCTTTGCTTGGACTTTTTAGCGTCCCAATTTTTGAGAAATGAATCTGGTCAAGACTCTTAGTCAAGACTAGATACCTCTGAAGGAGTCAGGAAGAAATTAGTCCCAATATGTCCCAATCCAACATAGTAACATACTCCATGATGTTCCAATATTGCTGCCCCAAAAGGTCGGAATGCGGGCTTCCAAAATATAGGAACGCGAGATAAAGACCAAACGAGTGCCTTTTCGGAATGCTCTTCGAGCCTTGCAGGTAGTTCACTGCAGTTCAGCGGTTGACTCACCAGTGACCCATCATGGTGCATCATGGCTCTTTTTTGGGCTTCGAGTCGCTAATCCAACCGCGCTCTGGACCGTGGCCATGAATCTTCCGATACTTCAAGCGGCTACCCTTCCGCTGCTCCTCCTTGCACATGGCGCACACGTGTGCGCCGTTCCAGCGACGGGTGAAGCCAAAGACACCCTCCAGTTGAAGTGAAGAACTCCCCATGTCACGACTGTTCTTTGACAATCTTCTAAAATCTTGGGACAGTATTTTGGAAGATATAGTATGGGGCAATGCTGCTAAACATGGTTTTGGGATGTGTTGGGTGTTTCTTCCATTTGATCTGGACTCCTGCTATTTGCAAACCCCAAATCGATTGGAAGAACTCCTATACTTTTATTCCCGGAGTTTCTTCCAAAATACTGGCCTGCACTATAAGTACAGTACAGTCGAGAGCTTGTCACTGAATTAAGCAAACTGCCACGGGTGAGTTGTCGGAATTGCCACAAGAAATGCGGATTGACAGATTCTTGGCATTAACTCGGATTCAGGTCGCCCATCGCGGCCACACTATATAGAGCTCTCTGCTGGACGATCGTCGTCTGAAGTCTGAACACAGCGCAGAATTGGACGTCGGAGAACATTCCAATTGGACGTCGTATGATGGGTTTGGGGTTTGCAAAGTTCCTCACCTCCTATGATCCACCGGACCGTGGAACCAAATTAGATCTATACCGGATCTCTGTATTTCTCTTGGATCCCAGCATTTGGGATTTGATTAAAGCTCCGGGGACACCAATTCTGCGAAGTCTTGTCACTTCATGCGCAAGTAGAAACACGGCATCTTGACAACGACGCTTGCTGTCATTTGATATCATGGCCATAAGAGTATGTTGAAACAAATGAGGTCACCATCATTGTTATATAAGTTATGCTACGTGCACCTAGCTTTTGCAGGTCGTCTTACGCGAGTCACTCCAGTGTGGTGCATACGACAACGAGATCTCCTGCAAAAGGGCACCATATTCCAAGCGTTCCTCCAATGCCAAAGAAGACCTTAGAAGGGCCGTCTTGCCCACATGTTGGTGCTTCGCAAGAAGGGCCTCCTAAGAGGGACGTCTCTAAAGGCCTCAGTCTTTCGTGTGATGATGGAGACCTTGGCCCATAGGAATTGCTTTTGTAAAAGGACCCTACCCTCGACGCCAAAGGCATAGGACCAAGTTGATACCGCACTGACAATTTCTGTCCAATTCAGAGATCAAAAGAGTAACTATGATTATGATCTGTAGCATTTAGGTTGCACCAAAGGACTCACTTGAATCAAACAAACCTGGGTAATCTGAGTGTGTGGCAATTCTTCCGCTTCTCTTACAATGATCCCGCCCTTCTCTGCACCACCGATCACAATCCATGTCCTGGGCCAACCAGAGCGAATTTCGGTGGATCCACGGATCAAGTGCCACAACGCAGGAACACAAGGACCAAGCACGGCATGGGGTATGGGGCACATGGCCAAGCCCCAAGGAATGGTGGGAGAAGAGGGAGAAAGTCCTTCCCCGGACCTTCCCAAGATGGACACCAAGAAGCTCCCATCATGCATTTGCTGCATCCCGAAACAGTCGCACCAAAGAATTCCAGAAGCTCACTCAGCCGTGTTGGACGAGCAAGCGTTCCCTTTGGCGGCCTATGTTTGCCTCCAGATTGCAAAGGGCCCAACAACTAGGACTGAGTGTCATCACCTATAATCTATAATCTGACCTTGTGCAAGACATTCCTGGGCTGCTTCCTGCTCTTCAATCCAACAATTCACCGTTATCCAAGTGGCCCCTCCAAAGAGGCCATGGTGCCCAGCCGCCACTCGCCGACTCACATCCATTGAGCATGCATCAAGCTTGGCAAGAAGTGTTCTGGATCCAAAGCATCCTTTGGTTTGCAAGAATCCAGCGTCCTTCAGTCAACCGGTTGACCTAGGCCTGCCCTCTGAACCAACAGCAAACACAATTGTCGTTTCCGAACTATGCGCAGGTTCGGTCGAGTTTTGAACCTGAACTTTGGCCATCCAACCACTTCAATGAAACCTACGGTACAGTACAGCGATGACTCGATGACTCGTTTTGCATCTGATCTCAGCTGTCGAAGCTTGGGTCTCAAAAGGCACCCATCGTGCATGAGCAGCTCATTGTGAGGGCAAAACATCACGCCACATCACGCCACTTGTGATCAACACGGTCATTCTTCAACCCAATCTGCGTATCTCATACGCTGAAGTTCAACGTAAGCGACGTAACCCTATCAATGATCTGATCCACAGGGAAACCACGACTGCCTTCAGGCGTTTCATGCTACAGTGGCCATCCGCAGAAGCCAGGCCTTGACCTCGGATGGATCAGATATGATCAAAGGGGGCCACTGTGGGAGTCAATAGCTTGGTCGTGCGGATTCCAGTCTTCGCGCTGACCTGGAACCTTCTTGACCCGACAGGGGCCCCAGCCCACAAGGAAGTCAATGAGGACTCTGGAGCCTGCCCTCAGCGACCAAGAAGCGGGTGAACACCCATTCTTCGTCAATGAGTGGCCTATGTCCTATGTTCAAAACGTCAACCATTCACCAAACCACGAGGAAATTGGAAATCTGCACAATAGATCCAAACAGTATATGTATGTATATGTTGATACGTCTCTGCGGTTGAGATGTCTCGGACTTAGTTGGATGCTACTGTATGAGCCTATGTGTGTGTGTTGCTTCTTCCATAGGGGATGTTTGTTCGAAGTGCCTCAATTTCAAGTCACCATGCCAGCATCAAATGGGCGCCCGTATGTGAGGTCCCCACGCAGCTGCGCGATGCAGCAGCTGCACAGCATCCTCATCTCCTGGCAAAATGCCTTTAAAATGTTCGCTATTGTTCGCTATGGCTGGATGTGTAACAGGCCATTTTAAATGTGTCATGGCTTTTCAGCACTTTCCCATTTGCGCACTTTTTGTGCGCCCCTCACGCCTTCGTCGTCATGTCCTTCAGCTGGAGGAGGGTTTCCATCATCAGGACCTTTGCCTGAAGTCTGAAGAAAAAAAATCAAAACTGGGGGCCGGTATTTGCTGCGCGTCCCAAAATCGATTGGTTCATCATGGGAATGAGATGGAATAAGCGGGAAACAAACCAAACACAATGGTGCGTGCCACATCCTCAGGTGGTTGTTTTTTCCACCTGCTTTGCTACTTGAATGCTACTTGGTACTGATCCAGGTTGAGCACGTCTCACCATAATCATGTACGCAACACTATGCACAACCTACATTAACTCATACGAGAACGCTTGCTGCAGGTATTTATCTTGTTGAGTCTAGTATGAGAGATGTTCTGCTGTTCAAAATTGTAGAGTTTTGCAGTTTTGCTCTGTTCGAAGGCCTTGCTCACAGTGGCCCTTTGCCTTTCCCCCCTCTTCCGACTTCCAAGATTTGTTGTTACATTCCCTGTCCATCCAACGGGCAGGAGAGTCTGAGGTCCCATCTCAGGGATCCGACAGTCTGGGTTGTTTCTGTCTGTCGTCCTGAGTCCTCTTTCGTCCGAAGACCGGCCGTCCTTTCGGGGTTCTCCAGGAGCCGAGCCAAGGGCGGCTTGAAGAAAATGCACGTAGTGGAGGAACTTGGGCCTGGCAGCGCTGATTTATCACAGCTTGGACTATTTGAGCCATGGCTATGTTTGATCTCTCTTGCGTTTCTCACGTACAGAAGCAACTTCTCTGGCCTCAAAATGTCATCTATGTCATTCTTGCTCAATCATAGAATGATAGACCATGGTTGTTTTCCAGCCGCAAACACACACATGCAACAAAGCATGCCATCGTACCATCATGTTCTCCTTGTGTTTGGGCAACATGTTTGGCATGCGAAGCATGATTTTCCCCAATATGTTCCAATTTCTCCAAGGTTCATATGCCACAAATCATCCCCTCTGTGCCCCACCTTTGCAGGAGCTCCTGTGGTGAGAAAGTCCCAGAAAGCCTCAGCAACTGACATGATATCATCATTCATGAGCGGGAGGGAAGTTTTTGGATGAGACTTGCGCCCAACCCCCAACATCGAGTGACGATGACCCTTTGCAACAAGCTTTCTTCAAGTACGACGACGACGACGACGACGACGACGACGACGAGAACCAGAACCAGAACCAGAACCAGAACCAGAACCACAACAACAACCACCGCCACCACCACAACCACAACAACCCCAACCGCAACCACAACCGCAACCACAACCACAACCATAACGACCACGACGACGACGAGGACGAGGACGAGGACGAGGACGAGGACGAGGACGACGACGACGACAGCAACAAGAACAAGAAGGTCTCCGTTCACAAATAGTGCCATGATATGCCGGTACACCTTGGCGTCGGAAACTGAGGCGTCCGAGCTCACCCAAGTCGCCACCTGCTTTCGGGCGCTCGAAATCGAGGTTCAACAGTTCGACTCAAATCAACTCAACCGATGAAGATCTATACTTCGGGAAGAACATCTCGATTCCGGCTCTGTTTGCAGAAGTGGACAACATCATATGCCTCCTGAGAGGATTGCAGAGGGGGCAGAGTGTTCTTGCAAGCTGCAAATGTCTTTGCTTACCAGCAAGGGCACGACTACCTGTGTTGAGCCACCCCAGGGTTCCACCCAAGCTGTCCTTCTCATTGTCGCAGGTGAAGCACGGCAGTCGAATACGGTAGGCTGCGTTATAGCATGTTGCAGCCAAAACAGCCAGGTCCCTGTTGGTTCTTCAGCAACAAAGTTTTGGTCAGGACAAACAGATTAAAATAAAGGTTGAAAAGTAATGAATGAGGGCGTTTCCTCGCCAGGGGATGCCAGGGGGAATAACATCATTTCGACCTTTCTAGCCTGGGGCAAATCGTTGAAGTGGATAAAGAGCGAGATGTTTGTCTTTGTTTCAATCTAATATAGATAGTTCCACGGCAGAACAGTGCATCTCGTCTTGGTAGGGTCTAGTGGGTTTCAAGTAGTTCAATGAACGGTTTCGGATTGTGAAAAATCGCACCGGTCGCCATACAACAAAATTTATGAACTCAAAAGTTGGCGAGTCTTCCTGGTTGAAGATCTCGTCCTGTTCTGCTTATAAATATGCATGAGTAAAAACATGTAAATAGATGGATACACGCTCAATTCAATGATGAAACATATTCTCTGCAACCATGCCTAAGGCGTCGTCAAGGTCTGACTGTCCTGACAGAAAAGAAGATGACAACCGCCCTTACGTCTCTGATTGAAGTGGACGCAAAAAATGGCTGGATACACTGATAGATGCACAATCTTTTAGGACCGTTTCTCGTTTTTGAGCGGACAATTATCCCGCAAGAGACCCCGAACCGTGCGTCTAGAAGTCTAAGGTCCAGGAGTGCAGAAGCAGCAGGTCTTAAGATCCAGAGAGAACTAGATGTCTAGAGTCTAGAGGTCTTGAGTTTTTGCAGTCTAAAAAAATCTAAAGGCCGAGATGGAGGTCTCTTGAGATCCGACATATCTCGAGGTCATCGTGGAAGGCTGGAGGCCTGGAGGCCACAAATATGCGAGGACTGAAGACATGTGAAGGCACACATGAGACCTGCCACAAATTTTGATTTCAATGCTCACAAATGGTTGCGCCTGCCACAAAATCTGCATTTCGAGGTCCACAACGTACTGCGCCTGCCACGAAATCCATACTTCAAGGTCCACAAAGTGCTGCACTTGCCTCGAAATCTGCCATTCAAGGTCCACAAAGTACTGCGCCTGCTGCGAAGTCCACACTTCAAGGTCCACACCGTCCTGTGCCTGCCACGAAATATGCACCTCAAGCCTCAAGGTCCACAAGTGTTGCGCCTGCCAAGAAATCCGCACATCAAGATTCACATTGCGCAGCCCTGCAGAAGCACTTCGCAGCAAGAGGGCTTCCAAAGACAACATCAAAACTTCAAAACGCATCTTTCGCTCCACAATTCCTCCGGCGTGGTGAAGAAGCGTGCCCAAAGGTCACGATTCACTGCACCTGCCACGAAATCAGAGCCCGCTGAAGACCACCACCACGTCAATCCGCGCATCAAAGTAAAGCTGCTCCTGCACCCGCCTCGAAGAGTCGGATCCTCGCGCCTGCCACGAAAAGTGACCACCAAGTCCAAAAATGTGCAAGGCACCACGACGACAGCGCAGTCGAAAAATACACCCGTGCCAGCCCACCAAGTTCTGCGAGCCTGCGCAGTCGAGATGCACTTTGAAGATTTCGAGGTGAATGAATGTACCGTAAATGGCAGCGAATTAGCCGCCCACGGATGTGAGAACCACCGATCGGACACCCGGCCTTAACTATTACCGTGAGAACCTCTAGTGTGACCACACTGTTTGGGGAAAATATGCTGATTGGCGGACCCACAGAATGGTCTTTCAGATAGAGGGGACAAACCCTGTATGAACTGATTACATAATGAATCAGCGCGTGGAGTTCAAAGGAGCGATCGGAGGCAAAGTATGGCAAAGTGACTCTCTTTCTTAAACAATCTTAAACAAGCATTCCACTTGATCACTTGATGCAACATATTGAATGCTTGCATATCAGACCTATAGAGCAAAACCCTGCTGCAATCATCAGGTTGCCTTTTGTGATGTGGAGCGCATGTACAATTCAATCTGGGTGATTGGTTTCATGCTCAGGCCTGGAAAAAAGCTTATCTGTATACTGCATATATGTATATATAAATGAATCAAACAAACACAATGATGAAAAGCTTGCAACTGGCCTTCATTGGTGAGGTGTACCTATGGAGCGCTCAAAGATTGTGGCCGCAAGCCAGCAAGCATGTCTATATGCATGAGCTCGCGGACATGTCAGTTCGCATGATTTTCGTACATTGAGAGGGTTCTTTCGATATGCTGCGATCCTACTCTCGTGGAGCGCAAGAGTGCATGGGCTGAAAGTTCAAGACTGTCCCGTGGAGCGACAGTTTGTATGAAAGTTGCGCGGAACCCTTGATGCCTTCGAGTTGCGGTGCTCTATCTTTCGACCATCTTACTGATCCATCTTAGTCAAACTATCTGAACTTAACAGCCACTTTGAAGGACAGCTTTCAGTCACTGCATGTCAACGCTACAATCTAAACAGCCCTTACTCCACGATGAGGTCGGCGACTGCTAAGAGGTCGGCACCAGAAGTCGGCGGCAAACACGCAGCGCTGAGATGGAGTGTCCACCGAGCTCCTGATGAGGCGTCGGCCAGAATCGTGAGACTCTCTCTACAAAAAGACGTTTTTTATGTACATATATTATCATTGTTATTGTCATTTATTGTATCAGGATTCTATAGTCGCCCCCCCCCCCAAAAAAAAAGAACAGTAAATTCCCTCTCAAGCTTCTTGGAAGCAATTTCTGCTTCTTTCGGGACCACTATACAATTATCTTTTGAGGTCCATTCTGTTAGGCCTGCGTGAGGTCTCCGCAAACATATGCAAGTTGGGAATGCAAAGAGATCCTGATCCCGGGAAGGTTTCATCCCGGGAACGATCTCAATTGGGATATGTTTTTGGAGGCTGGAAAAGGTGAATAACACTTGTCCCAAAACTGACATATATACCCCAGGCCCCCAGACAAAGCTTCAAGATAGTCCAGCAATGTCCAGCATGGTCGAACGGGCCGTCATGGAAATTAAACACACACCCACACAGAGCTGTGTGCAAATCCACATGTTGACCTCGCCCGCTACACAAAACATGGGTTCGCGCGTTTCATCCTGATTCAGAATCCTGCTCAAAAACCTTCGCCAACAGGCCCGACAGACCGTGTTTTCGACCATCGGTCCCTCCTATTTTGTGGGTAGTAATCCAAGAAGTCAAAAGAAGGAGCATCTCCAGCAAGGCCAAGTACAGAATGTTTACAGTTTGTTGTCAGAGACAACGCATGCTCGGGAGCACACCCAAGCACTGCAGCAGCTGCCCTTTAGCCGAAACTCTCAGCTTTTGGCGCTTGTTTTCAGATCCTGGCATGTCGATGGCATTGGTTTCTAGTTTGAAACACCTCAACTAAACACTTCATTGGCATATGAAAAACACCTCTAACAATATTCTCAGCTTTGGCTGCACCAAGTGGACCAAGCCTCATGCAAAAGCTATTCAGCCATGAGCGGACGTCTTGTCGTTTGGGCGTCCTCCAACTTCTTTCGCAGCTCTTGATTCTGCTGCTCTTTCTCCTCAACTTCCTCTTGACTGTCCTGAACACACTAGGCTTATGCTGAACAAGGCTCCTATTCCGCACCATCTATTGCTTCTTCCATTGCTGGGGTCAAGTGGGGCAAGCGGGGCCAGTGGCGCATTTATTGTAGCTTGATTTGTTGGGACAGCAACTGGGGTGAACATGGCGAGCAGCATATATATATATATATAACTGTGTATATACTTTAGACACTTAAACATGTGTTCTGCTGCGCTGCCCAATGTGATACCACTAAATGCGTGCCTTATTTCTAAACTTCTAAACCCAGAAGCAACCGGTTCTTTCAAATACATCAGCAAATCCAATGACATCAAGCCAAAGTTCCTGTATCTCATCGACTCATCGCGCGGCTGCTAAGCGTCTCCACCAAGTCTCTTCGAACATACAAACTAGAGGAGGGGCACCCCAGCTTCAACCACCCCGACCACACGCAGAGTTTTCTCCCGGACCCACTGTACAGCTTAAGCGTCCGGAGACTCTGGTGAAATGCGACTCCACGTTGAAGCATGAAAGAAAGAGCTGTGGCGAGGCACATGCCGTAAAGCTTCATGTCCGAGGTCCGTATTCAAAGTGTCAAACTATGCCATGCAGGGTTTGGCACAAAAAATGATCGAAAGGGTCTGAGCCTGAGCTCTGATATGCTTTCGCTGAACTGACTCACTGTTTTTTGGAAATCTTTGGGCGCTCGTCATTTCATGAAGAAACTAACACATGGATCCCCTCCACCACACCCTTTTGCACTCACCGGAGCTTTGCACAATTACGAAGGAACTGTTCACTTTGACGGTGCCAGTCACTCAGTGGACAGCTGCCAATCCTCCTTGGTGCTGCACCATTGGTCGCATTGCCAAACAATTACAGCCTACAGTTAGTTATTGCAGTTCCAAATGCTATGGACCAAAACAAATCCCGCTTGCACATCCCTGTACCAGCCTCGAACCCCATCCCCAAAAACAGGATCTCAAAGTGCCAACTTGAAAGGCAACAAATTTCTTTCAAGGATACAAAAACAAAGGGCCAGATCAGCTCCGCTGAGGCACTTCGCTGCTCGCGCACATCATTTGGACTTGCCGCTGCTCGCACGCCGCTTCTTTGCAAACTCCAGCCAGCGTTGAATCACTGGATGAGCAAGCAACTTCTGCAAGGTGTTGTACCTGCCGTAGTTTCAGACTTGACCAAAGTTGCGAAACCCAGTCTCCTACAGGTGTTGCGTCAAATGAAGGCTCTGACTCATCATGATGCCAATCACCTCTGTAATTCATTCTGTGCCACAAATGTTTCCACCAACATGTTGTTTTCCACTCAGAATATGTACATCTATTATATATACATATAAGAAACGGTGTTTATTTGTTATGTGGGCCTTGCACAATTCAATCGGGTCAGTGTATTATCGCTTTCCACTTGTTGAACCTTACTTATGTTAAAAGGTTGTTTTCACAATGTGGCAGCCTTTTTGCACATGGAAGCAGCCGTGCAACGGTCAAACCTTCTGACTGGTCAGGTCATGGGTATCGCCTTCAAGGGTGGCATCGCTACACACAGCGCCAGCAGTAGCAGTAGGAGTAGTAGTAGTAGTAGCAGCAGCAGCAGAAGTAGTAGTTGTAGTAGTAGTACTGGTAGTGGTAGTGGTAGTGGTTCTAGTTGTAGTGGTAGTGATAGTAGTAGTAGTAGTAGTAGTAGTAGTAGCAGTAGTCGTAGTAGTGGTAGTAGTAGTTGTTGTTGTAGTGGTGGTGGTGGTAGCAGTAGCAGCAGCAGTGGTAGCAAGTAGTTCTTTTTAGTGGTAGTAGTAGCAGTACTAGTGGTAGTAGTGGCAGTAGTAGTTGGTGTTGTAGTGGTGGTGGTGGTGATAGCAGTAGCAACAGCAGTGGTAGCAAGAAGCAGTCTGGCAGTGTGCAAGCGATCACTTACCTGGATTTCGCGTATCGCTTGAGGTATCGCTTGGGTATTGCTAGGGGCGTCGCCGAGCAGCTACGAGTAGACAATTCGGAGAAGTCAAGGATGTCATCTATCTTCCAACTTGTTTATCCCATCCAAAATGATTCCATCCAATCTGACCTAGTCCATGCTATGTATCTTTCGATCCTTGGGTAAGTAAACCGGCTGCCACTGATGATGGTATCGCCATGGTATCGCCTCTTCAAGGGTGGTATCGCTACTCACATGTTTTTGATGGTTTATGATACCACAAGGCGGCTGCCCTATTAAAGTCATCGTCGCGTGTTTTGACCCTTGCACAGATAGGCTCACAATGCGGCAAACCAGCCATGTCTTGAGCTTGTTTGGAAGATATGTTTCAGATACAAGTGGGGCACTGGTTTCGTAGCACAGGTTCGTCTACATTTACGTTATCGTTTGGTTATCGTTTAGGTTATCGTTTGACTACTACAGCTACATTTCCGACAAACCTGTCGCCAAAGTCCGAAGTCAAAAACGGCTTTGGGAAAGGCTAGACTAAGCAGAAACGAGGTTCCCTGATGGTCTTAATGGTTTAAAAAGCTGTACTGCAGCTATGAAAACTAAGCTTTCCTATAATTAAACATGATTGTGTTATTGTTTTTTGATGAGTGTATTATCGTTTTCCAAGTACATGCAAATTCTGCAACCCCAATGTCGGGTCCTTTACTAAATAGCTTTCCGAGATAAATCAGGTTGCTCATATATATATATATAACATTATATAACTTACCAAACTCTTCAGTGAATCGGCAGAAGCATCGTAGGGTAAAATTATGCTCAAGTAAGAATCTATGCGCAAGAACATGTCGGTACTAGAACTCAAACAGACTTAAGCATGCAGCAGGCAGTGAGTCGACATGCTGGGTCACTGAGATGCCAAGACTTCGTTGCTGGCGATGCTGTGCACTGTGTTGTGGCACTGACGGCAGATCATAACACCATATTTGTTCCTCGGCTGCACAGAATTTCCTCAACATGTCTCAACATGACACACGCACCAAGAAAGCACAAGTAACAACAATCCGATCGGTCGAGTCGTCTGAAATTAATTTCCAACATCTTACAATCAGGACCACCTTGTATGCAACCCTCAACCCTCCAACTGTACTGTTGCCAATCCACATTAGTGCCCCAATGAATCTGAAATGTGTCCATTACTGACTTTTTAAGCATCTCGTCTCAACAATCAGGTGCTTGCCACATCATTTCTGACTACTTGTGTTCAAAGCTGGTGATGGTTAGAAAGAGTTTGTCCTTAACCTTCTTCCCCTTCACCTACTAGCACCACGCGTGGGTTAAGCATGATAGCACCTGAATTTGCAAAAACAAAGATGCAAGTTCAAGGGTTGCAAACTTTGGAAACAGTCAGACAGAGACACAGTCAGACTGTCAGATCTCCAGACGTGATACGATTGTTTTTTTGGCGCAAACAACATTTTGCACAAATGAACTATATTACTTTGAGGTTTGCAGTATATACTTTTTTGGCCATAGCCATAGCCGCTGGATATGTAGTTGTAGATAGTAACGCAAGATGGGTAGAATAAATCAAAAGGACGAGCAAAACAGGAAAAGCGGGTCCAACACAAAAACTGTGTTTCATGTGTGTTGTTGGACGTTCGAGGTTGCTGCTCTTCATGTTTTGTCACCCTGCAAGCTACTGAACAGACTTGATCGACAGCTGGATAGACCGCGATGAGGTTGTATAAGTTGTTTTAGACACTGTGTACGTTGGACACCTTGAGCCTGACTGTGTTTATGAAATGTTTTGCGAACTAATGTTTTGATTCATTCCTGACGGAGGAGAGTTGAGTATGACTGCTTCGCTACAACGACAGACTTTTGCATTTTGTCAGCAACCCCGCCAACTATATTAGGCCGGCCGCGGTGAACTTCCTAAGCTCATTGCAATCGAAACCCTGCCTATCCCTGCCCGTCGTTCAAGAAAAGGGGGCTGGGGCTGACAATCCGAAAACTAGTGAGTGCAGTAATACTCAGAGTGCAGTAAACAGCTCCATGCTTCAGAACGCGCAAGCTCCTGCGTTACATGTCACAGAGCGCAGTGAAGTGCCTGACTCGAAATTCGCGACCAGCCCTAAACATACGTGCCAACCAAACCTACCCACTCAACGTCATAATTAGCGTTTCTATGTTCGACAAGTACTGCAAGAGTGCAGATGGAACGTCTTGGAATTGTTCCTGTCTGTAGGCGTACATGTTGGATGACTCAAAGGCACTCTCATTCAACATGTTATCGCCCCCATGTTCTTACTCACCAAATGTTGCGGCAGACACATCTTGATATTATGTTTTTTGAGAGAACCAAATTTCATCCAAAAGTGAGTACAAGCCAGACTTGGTGTTGTTTGTCCATAGGCCATAGGGCTCATTTGGTAAAGACATGTTGCTCTCCAACAAAACCTTAAAGACAATGCCCCTATCTTTCCACAACAGTGAGAAAACTAACTGCCACCTCTCTTGATCCGTCACCACGCCCAGAAACCCAGAACAAAAACCACAATTTCGTCTCGAGTACTGAGTAATGCTGTGCACTTCTACACATGAATCTTCAAAAAATGTCTACAGTATAAATTAACACGAAACCAGCACCCAAGCGAACCCTCCGTCGCCGGCGCCTGCATTATTAAACACACAGCAACAAAACCAAATTCACCGCAAACACCTCTTCAACCTGGAGCCCCATAGCTTTCAACCAACGTGAATGAGCAACAGAAGACCCCAAATTCAACACAAAGAGGGGTTGCAACCTCATACGTCTAACGAAACAACAGGTAACCAAATGCAATTGCCACACCTGAAAACAATGGGCATGTAAAGGGTGCAACAACGCAAAAAGTAAATACACCCATCGCTGTGAGGGGAACGTGCAATGTGGCGCTAGCATTGCCATGAAAAACGATGGACCATCGCCGTCTATTAGCCGTAGTCCGATTCCGCTAGTATCCTGAAGGCCTTGCTTGTCTGGAATGAAGCTATGAAAAACAAAACAAACTCAAACTCAAAAGCGGCTTTGAAGGCAAATCTCACGATCCATTCACATGAGGTATCCCAGCTTTGCTGCTTGGTGTAGCTGCCATTGTTCTTGGCCGCCAGCTTGCGGGCCAGACATGTTGCGA